CTAGGTGGTCATGTGACTGGGTGGGCGTGGCTAGGTGGTCATGTGACTGGGTGGGCGTGGCTAGGTGGTCATGTGACTGGGTGGGCGGGGCCAACTCAATGTCATTCACATCAAGGGGCGCTTCACCAGCTTCTCCTAACCCCTCCCAGCCACTCCTCGCCTGCCCGCCCAGGCTCCTTAGGGCCCCAACAGGAAGCAGTTGCTGGAGCTAAGCAGCCACCATGAGAAAGAGTTGGCAAAACAGCTGGCTCAGTTCAAATTGGATCTGACCGAGAAGGAGGCTCGGCAGAAGCACTTCACTGAGGACTACGAGCATAGGATTTCCAAGCAGAGGGAAGGCCTGCGGGAGTGCGAGGCCAAGTACCAGCGCCTGGAGGCTCAGCAGGCTGAGATGGTCAGCCAGTTCCAGTCCTACTGGAACGAGGCCCTACGGCTCTTCGCCACCAGCGGCACTTCCCTCCAGCCTTCACCCAAAGCCCTACACCAGGAGGCTGAAGCAGACCCCAAGTCGGACTTTCTGCCCCCTTCGACCCACACAAAAAGACCCCGAAGGGGGAGACTCTCTGCAGCAACACAAGCATTCATTGTATGTACCCAGCCCAATGGAGCATAGTTTGAGGGCTCCTGATTTGGTGCAATATTTAAAAATGCCAGTATTTTTTCTGCGGACCGCCAAAACTTTCTCGCGGACCACCAGTTGGTGACCGCTGCTTTAAAGGGGGCTTCACAGAGTTATGGGGGGCTTCTTCAACAGGTTTCCACAACCAAGGAAGGACAGACTATTCTCCCCATTCCATTCATGAGATTCCAAAGCAAGAACCAAGCGGGGAATTATTTATTATTCCACAGAGGACATCTCCAAGCCCGGTCTCCGCTGTCTGTAATTACCCACAAAAAACACTCCATCGCTTACGGTTCTATAGCTTGGATCTGAATTCATAAATCAAGGGACTCCTTAGGAAGCTGCCAAATAATGATTTATACACACACACACACACACCAGCATATTCCCAGTGGTCATTATAAACATCTCATTCATATTTTTTCTCTGTGTTACGGTACTTACTGTACATTTTGGTTGTTCGGAAGTGTTCTGTTCTTGTAACAAATTCCATTCGGCCGATTGTTGAAGAGCAGGGCTTTTTGGCAAAGCTGTGACCAAAACACAATTTTAAAAAAAATATCTATTTGTAAAAACAAAAGTACACCTCGATTTAAAAAAAGAACCTCAATAAGATATCGACAATTTGCATTTTAGAACAAAACGAAGCCGCGGAGACCAGACACGGAGCTCCGATTTCTAATTCGACTTTCCCAGCTCGGTAGCGGAAGGAAAGGCTCCATCAGGTGATCAGGAGGGAGCCTCCAGAGATTCCACAGGGAATCTGCGGAACAGAAGCAACCGTCCAGCAACCTAAACACAGGCAGTCCTCGACTTACAACAGTTCACTTAGTGACCGTTCAAAGTCACAAGGTTACTGGGGGAAAAAAGAGAGACTCGTGACCATTTTCTCAACACTTTTACGACAATAGCAGCATCCCCAGCGTCACCCGATTTACGTTCGGATGCTTGAACCACTGACTCACATTTATGACGGTCGCAGTGTCCCGGGGAGAGGGGGGGATGTCAGGCTATCCCCTTTTGCGACCTTCTGATGAGGAAAAATCAACAGGGAAACCAGATTCGCTTAAGCAACGGGTTGCTAATTGAAGAACTGCGGGGATTGCCCTTAACAGAATGCGGTGAGAAAAATCATGTAAAGCCAACTCCCTTGACAACATAAAGGGGCCGCAATTGTGGCCATAAGTTGAGGACTGCCTGCAAATGAATATACAAGGGTTGTTCCGGGAGGGGGGGGGGGCTGCTACAGGTTCACCCGTGTTTGGGAGAATCCATAGCTAACGTTATGGCCGGTTCCGAGAACCTCCAACTCCAACCCCTGGCTGGCCCTGCCCACACCACCCCTTCCATCCCAGGAGTCTCCACGCGGCCCGTTTTGGATGTGAGGTCAATGTAGGATCCGTGCGGAGGCTCGAGGAGGGGGGGAGAGAAACAGGCTTTCGGAGTATGGGAGAGGCAGCTTTCATCGCCCTCTCAGAGGTTCGATGAAAGCCTCTAGAGCCTGGGGAAGATGAAAATGCCCCCCCCCCCCTTCGTGGTGCAGGAGGCCGACTAGGCCACGCCCACCCAGCAACTGGGCAGAGAACCCATTGCTGAAATTTTTGAAGCCCACCCCTGGTTGTCTTCCCCCCCCAAACAACAGGTTGCTATTTGACCCCCCAATCAGGTGCTCCCAGTGCAAGGGATGGGGGCTTACCCTGTGGACTTGCAAGCACAAGCAATTCCATCATTCTTTCTGGCAAGAAAGAGGGGAGAAAAATCATCATTTGTACCTGGAGTTTTGAGTTGAGTAAAAAACGTCAGGAAGCTCTGGGTTTCGAAGGGGCCACAGCTCAGTAGCGGGGACCCATGCTTTATAGCAGTTAGACTTATATACCGCTTCATAGGGCTTTCAGCCCTCTCTAAGCGGTTTACAGAGTCAGCATATTGCCCCCCAACAACAATCCGGGTCCTCCAAGAGGAAAGTGGCTTCAGCTCCTTGCCATGGTCGTCCTCTGGGCCCAACCCTTCCTTGTGCAAAAAAATACGGTCGTTTTGTTGAAACGGGGTGTAGTATATAACCCCAAAGGCCCTTCCTCTTGAATTGGTTCTCATAGAATTCCCTTCTTGCAAAGCGGCTGGCGTAATGACTCCCACCCGGCACTAGGGGGCGCTAATTCTGCCAGAGAAGCACAGCAGCCCACACTAGGGGGCGCTAATTCTGCCAGAGAAGCACAGCAGC